ATTGAGAGGTCACGAAATTTCATGACGTCATTAAATTCTGCTCAACTCGTGACTTTCGCTTTGTTAAAAATAGTTTCTTCCTACAAAATGCATCGTCTTTCTGATTCCCTGACCTTGAGGATCCTTGAGACCCTGTCCTAGAACCTTAACAGGCACGTAAGTTTGTGCTTTTCGTTTTTTAATTTGTATTTTGCCTGTCTGTCGTCAGGCAGTACACTTCCTGCTGGGTTTTTTTAGGTCGCGCTCGACTGGCCTCTTTCTTTAAGAACCGGAAGGGGGGTTCGATCGAGATGCCCCTCAGCCCCCTACGGACGCCTACCAAGCCTGCTCCCGATTGGTGCACTCTCACTTGCCCCGACCTTGACGCCGTGATAGCGGCTGCTTTTCAAGATCAACTGATGTGTTCTGGCTTCGACAGCGAGCGATCGCGCCACATTATTCTCTCCTGTCTCGTATTTGAAGATTTCTGCATGGAGCTCTCGGCTATTTGCCTGGAACAAAGTGCTCTTGTCTGAAATGTCTCGACGGATAGTTTCCGCTGCCCATTCACGCTACTACCAATTCGTCTGCTCGGTAGACTGTCCTGTAAGGCCTGCACTTGCGCGGAAATTGAAGGATGGGAAAGTAAACCTACCTACTTCTGACTCCGTTTTTCTGCCGCTGGTTGCTATTCCCTGGAGCCCGCCGTCATCTCCTGTCTCGAAGCATTATAGGTTCGGCTGTCCAGTCGGCCAAGGCTATCTCTTTTATTCCGTTGGACACGCGCCCTAAATCTCCTTTTTTATAAGAACAGAGCTACCTTAGCTTCTGCTTTGGCTGTGAATATTTGCTATTTTTTATCATCATCCCAACATTTATGCTGTACTTTTTCTTGCCGAACGATGTGTCATATGTGGAACATGTTTTTTTGCAATCAAACTCCTGCTATTTAGCCTTCTTATAGTATGCTAATGCAGTTTATGCGGGAAGCCATCTTTGGGTTTACTTAGGAATGTGACTTTTTAGTTTTAAGCATTGTTTTCCCGGAAGAAATTTGAATAACGCAAAGACAACGAGGTTTGCAGAAGTTAATGAAGACATACAATTCCGTGAACTACAGTAGTCGCCACAGACCATGCAATTTTCATAACTTTGTATAAGTTT